ATTTATTTGTTTTTAAAAAATAAAAAAATCAACTAAAAAGTATTACTATTTCATTGTCACTAACAGAAACAGTACGGAAGCACTGATTCTTTGAGCAATTAAACCGCTCTTCAAGTATGTAATTCAGTTCATAGATTATTCTTCTGCGGTGGTAACGCCGCCAGGAAAGTAGGATCCAGTCGCCCTGGAGGGCGGGGTCCCAACTCCAGATGTTGATAGTCATTTCCCGGCTGTGGCAGAACCAGTGTTATTGACTTCACACATCCAAAAGATACAAGTCAAGAAAGCACTACTATTTGATCCAGTGAAGTCTGAGCACCCGATTCTTCAGAGTGAAGTGAGCATGAAGAGGAAGAGTTGGTCTCACAAGCTAAAATTTTGAAAGACTGAGTAGAGGAAAGAAAGGGCAGAGTGAAAAAATACAGAATGGCAAGACCAGAAGAGAGAACTTACAAAAAGGAAATGTGGACAGCTAAGTTAGCAGAACACTGTCATGTCATTAGAGTTGAAAGAAATTTAAAAAGCCATCAATCAGCTGTATTAAAAAATAGCAGTGACTTCAAAACAATACCACTTAAAATCGGCTCAAAAGTAATAAAACTCTGAATTACAATTTCTTCTGTGGGGAAACGATGCAAAGTTTTCCACATGTAAACAAATTCACTCAGATGAGAGAAATCAAGTGTGCAGTCCTCTCAGCGCCTCCTTCAACTATGACCCATTCATCCTTCCAGTACGTGCCAGTGTCACATCTGCATCACAAAGTCAATTCCAAACATCCAACCATTCCTCCAGTTATCCTGTTTTATTCTTCTCAAAAAACTTCTTGAAAAAGTGACAAAGTGACAAACCTCTGATGCAATCCTCCTGAGTGTTTTGAGAATTTGCAGAATGAGAAGAAAAGGTAGGACGATTGAGATTCAACTCCCTGTATGGGTCAGTGTGCACATCAGCTCCAAAACCCTCTGTCCCTTCATCACATAAATAAGCCTGTCCCAGCCGGTCATCTGGGGTGCAGGAGAAAGCGATGCAGATACTCTGAAATGGCATCCCAGTGCCTCCAGAGGAAGGCGAGGAGGATTACGAGGAGCAGCGTAGAGAGCGTGCGGCTTCTAGTTTTCATTAAGGGGACCACACAGTTTGCCACAGTGGACACAAACACCAAAAGGACTGCCATGACTGTTAGCAGCACATTGATGAGTTTCCCAAGAAGATTCTGCGCTGTGCCATTCTCCAAACCCTCCAGCTGCACCACCTGCTGCTGCTGCTGCTGCAGCTCCATCTTGGAGATACGCGTCTGACATGCCTCCAGCGCCTCCTGCAGGTCAGAGGCAAAACTGTCAGTGAAATAGCTGTGATGATAAATATATTGCATTCATTCTGACAAGGCTTACCTGAATGTCCCTCACTCTTTCATAGGACTGATAAGCAATCTTTTCCTCCATACTGGCTAGTTCCTGTTTCAAGTTCAGGATTTCATTCTGGTGCAGCTCTGTTAAGTCATTGAGTTGCTCTTCTAAACGTTCACACCTGCAAAATAGTGAAAACATCAGCACATCATGACCAGAACATTTTCTTCTACTGCACAGACCTACTTACTACAGTAAACAGGATATGATATGCTACCTGTATCGTTCCTCTTGCAGGGCCTCCATGATCATTGTATTGTCCCGCTGATAGTGGGCTTTTAAGCTTTCAAAAGACTCCTCAAGTCGACTTTGATTTTCCCGGAGGTCTTGAATCTCATGGAGAACTGCATCAAAGCCAGAGACCTGGCCATGTTCAAAGGTATTGCCCTTGGAGCTAGAGGGGCCTCCAGGGGCTCCAGTCGTGCTATTGGCTCCTGCAGATCCAGACGTAGCGCTCGAACAGTCATCGTCGCTGCCATACTTCGGACTGGACTGCAACTGTCCAGTCCCAAGCATCCTTGTTGCCCCAGGACCAACACCTTCATCTCCCTGGGTTTCATCCAAAGAGTCCTTCAGGGCTGCAATGTTGTCGGCGCTGCCAAACTTGTGACGGATGAGGGAAGCGATTTCTCTCGGCTTGGACACCACAGCTCCGGCTGCAGAATGAGTGGCCTGCGAGAAGCTGGACAAGCCGCCGGTAACCTGTAACCAAGTCAAAACTGTATGTGACATCTGGTTTCACTGCTGTAAATGGGTGAAATAGGCTGAAAATGTCCCAGGACAATATTACATGTGCCAGTAACACATCTCAATAAGTCTGCATGAGCATGTGTCATACTGGCCCATCTACACCTAATGCAGCAATGATTCATTTCATGAGTCACACTTGTATTAGGCAAGTTGCTTACGTTGAATTTAACTAAATATATTGATTACAATTTTTTTTACTTTGTTGGAAAAGGGATATTACACGTGTAACCTTTAGTCAGTAAAATGACAAAAATCCTTTTCTATAATGATATGAGAGTGGAGAATAGGCGTCAGTACAAAAACACACCTTGGCTCCAACATCTTTCAGCCCTTGGTGCATGTCTCGGAAAACATCTTTGGGCTGCCGAGGGATGCCGTTGTGCTCCACCTCTCGGAGCTTCCGGTGATAGTGCTCCAGCTTCCTCTGCAGTTGCTGGATGGTCTGAGCGGACTTTTGGTTCTTCTTCTCAAACACCTGTTTGATGCGTGCACTCTGTTGTTTGTCTGCGTTGTTGGCGAGTTTAAGGTATTCAGCCACGTTGTCATCGCGCGCAGTTTGTTCAATCTTGATTTGTTCTGTGAGTTTGAGGATCTTCTGTTGTAGCTGCGCAATGGCCTGCTTAGTTCGCTGGGGGTCTGGGGT